AACCCCCTTCCCCTCCCCCTTTTCTGATGAAGGGTCTAGGCCCGAAATGTCAGCCTCTCTGCTCCTATGATGCTGCTTGGCCTGCTGTGTTCATCCAGCCCTGCACCTTGTTGTCTCAGAAACAAGTCAGCCCAATTTCTTAAGTAACGAGTAAAGGAATAGTTTATTGCAAAAAAAGACTTACTGAAGTAAGGATATCGAGATTATTAACAAAAAGTTTAAGCTATGAAAATATATGCAGTTGTACTTGCTGAAAAGTAACACACAGATTTGCACATAATCTCCAAATCTGTGAAAAGATATTACAGCTCTATAGAGTGTTTTCATAAAAGTGCTTTGGTCATGTAACAATTAAATTCAGAAAAGAAGAATTATTGATATAACAAGGTGTAGAGCTGGATGAACACAGCAGGCCAAGCAGAATAAAATTAGCAGAAAAGCGGACATTATTCCAAAACGCCCACTTTCCTCTCCCTCTGATGCTGCTTGGCCTGCTGTGTTCATCCAGCTCTACACCTTGTTATCTCAGATTCTCCAGCATCTGCAGTTCCTACTATCTCAAGAAGAATTATTCACAGATTGTCCCAAGTGCTGATTTCTAACCAAAGTCAATTTGTGTACATACTGTTGGTGCTGGGATTTCTTCCTGGATCAGTTATGGCTAGCTGAATTCACTTTTTTTTTTCTGGAGACAGTGGTGGTAAATTATGGATTCTTCTTAGGAAACCCTTCACTTGTTGAGATGAGTCTTTCTGTGTATGTGCAACATTCAAACTTTGAGAGCCGTTTAGGAGAAAAGCCAAAAGGGAAAGGAGTCAAGGTTGTTCCTGGAAAATTACCTCTCTCACTGCCTGTTCAAATCCTATATCTTTATTTTACCCACAAACTAGGTAACATGATTGTTTTCTGAAAGTATTGTAGACTTGACAACTTCATCCAAACTCCCTCCAAAGGTAACATTGAAGCACCTGTAGTCAGGGTCTTTTATTTTAGAAAATATTCTTTCCAAAGAATTCAAGGTTCTATGTCTGATCAAGTATATTGCAAACTAATATTTTGAATAACACATTGTTGTTACAATAATCTATACATTATCAATGATGCTGCCATCTGCAAACCCAAGTCCAGCTTGCAGATGTATTTTGATGACATCCAGTTTTACCCTCTCACCTTCACCACTGAGTCCAAGATACTCGTAATACTATCTTAACTCTGTCTCCAGTATTAAGGCTTAGATAAGTCTTGATTTCCTCCAGCTCAGCATTGGATCCCCGTTCCTTAGTGTGGCTATTTCATTGTCCTTGTTCACATTTTCAAATTGACGGTTTCACTTCCTTTCTAATCATGTTTTTTTCCCAACTCTGTATCCTCTGACCCAAGTTCACTATTTATTTGTTACAGATAAATTGGAATTTGTAGTATATCTAACCAACTTTTTGAGTGGCTGTGATCATAATGTCTGGGATACTGGGGAGGCAGTGGCCTAGTGGTATTATTGCTGAACTGTTAATCCAGAGACCCAGGTTCAAATCCCACCATAATTTGGATTCACTAAATATCTGGAATTAAGAGGCTGTTGATGACCATGAAACCATTTGTTGGAAATGCTCATCTGGTTCACGAATGTCCTTTAAAGAAGGAAACTGCCATCCTTGCCTGGTCTGGCCTACATGTGACTCCAGGCCCACAGCAATGTGGTTGACTCTTAACTCTCCTCAGGGCAATTAGGGATGGGCAATAAATGCTGCCTAGCCAGTGTCACCTTCATCCCATAAATAAATAAATCTTTAAGAAAAAACTTTTCTAAGTCTTCCATTTCACCTCTTGTCTCCTTTCCTTCAAAACGTAATTAAAAGCATGGAAAAGCCTTTTTAAACAGTGCTGTCAGTCCTAGAATCTCCCAGGGGAGAATATATCCTGTCAGCATACTGTGAAGCCCCCTCTGATATGTAGATTGTTTCTCATTCTTCCAAACCGTCAGATCTGTACAGGCCCAATCTGCTTAACCTGTCTTTCATAAAGCAATCCCTCTATCCATGAAAATAGCCCAGTGAATCTCCTCTAAACAGCTTCCAAGGTAAGTATATCTCTTCCTAAAGAGACCTAACTGTGCATGTTATTCCAGGTGTGATCTCACCATTGCCTAGTATAGTTCTAGCAGGTGTTCCCTACTTTTATACTCCATTCTCCTTGCCTTGAAGACCTGTATTCCTTTGCCTTCCTAATTAGTTGCTGTCCTCCTTTTGAGATTCACCTACAGGATGGTCAGATTCCTCCATACTGCGTTATTCTGCAGTTTCTCTCCATTTAAATAATATTCTGCTTTTCTTTCTTCCTGCTAAAGACAGCCTTACATTTACTCCACCTGCCATTTCTTTTACCATTCTATCCATACACCATGGCAGACTCTGCTATCCTTCTTGCACCTTACATCTTAGTGTCATTGGCAAAGATGGCTACAATGTACTTGGTCTCTTCATCAAAATGAATAATAGCGATTTTAAGCAGTTAAGGCCCAGTGCTGATTTCTGTGGCACACCAAAAAGTATAGTTTGCCAACCTGGAAATGACTAGTTTATCCCAACTCTGTTTCCAGTTCATGAGCCAATTCCCAGCTTCTCATAATGTATCACCCCAAAACCATGCAATAACCTTGTTGCAGCACCTTTATTGAATGCTTTTTAGAAATCCAAATATTTTAGATTTACTGATCCCCCTTTTTGTTCGATTCCACCTGTTTGTTACATCCTCAAAGAACTCTGATAAAATGTTTGAACATGATTTCCTGTATTGACTTTATCAATTTATATTATGATTTTTAAAATTCCCTGCTGCTGCCTCCTCAATAGTAGATGTATTTTCCCAATAATAGATGTTATCCTAACTGGTCTATAGTTTCCAGCTTTCTTTCTCCCTCCTTTTGTGAATCAACTTGTTCAATTTACAGTTTCACTGGGACCTTTCCAGAATCTGGAAAATTTTGGGAGGTTACAAACACTGCATCCACTCTCTCTGCAGCCATTCTTTTAAGATCCTTAGGTTCATGCCATCAGGTCCTGAGGACTTATCAGCTTTTAGTCCCATTACTTCTCCTATAACCTTTACCCTAGTAATTGTTTATTTATTTTAAGTTCCTTCCTCCCTCCCTTTTACCTCCTTTATTTTCTATTATTTTTGGGATGTTCTTTGGGTTTTCTACTGTAAGGATATAAACTTAGCATTTGATTAAGGTCTCCACCACTTCCTTCTGCACCATTATTATTTTCTCAGTCTCACTCTCTGGGGGATCAATGATCATTTCAGTTCCTCTGTTTCTTTTGTGATATCTATGGACATTTTTACTGTCTGCTGTTACGTTTCTTGCCAGTTTACTTTTGCATTCTAGTTTTGCTCTCTTTCTTTCAGTTATAGAGTCACAGAGCCGTACAGCACGCAAACAGATCCTTCAGTCCAACTCGTCTATGCCGACCAGACATCCCAATCTGACCTAATTCCATTTGCCAGCATTTGGCAAATATCCCTCTAAACTCTTCCTATTCATATACCCATCCAGATGCCTTTTAAATGTTGTAATTGTACACACCTCTACCACTTCCACTGGCAGCTCATTCCATACGCACACCACCCTCAGCATGAAAATGTTGCCCCTCAGCTCCCTTTCAGATCTTTCACCTCTCACCTTAAACCTATGCATTCTAGTTCTGGACTTCTCCACCCTAGGAAAAAGACCTTGGTCATCCTTGCCCCTCATGATATTATAAACTTCTTTAAGGTCACCCCTCAGCCTCCGACGTTCCAGGGAAAATAAGGCCGGCCTATTCAGCCTCTCGCTATAGCTCAAACCTTCTAAACCGTGGCAACATTCCTGTAAATCTTTTCAGCACCCTTTCAAGTTTAACAACATCCTTCCTATAGAAGATTGACCAGAATTGAACACCGTATTCCAAAAGTGGCCTAACCAATGTCCTGTACAGCTGCAACATGACTTCCCAACTCTTATACTCAATGCACTGACCAATGAAGGCAAGCATACCAAACGGCTTCTTCACTATCCTGTCTACCTGCGGCTCCACTTTCAAGGAACTATACACCTGCACCTCTAGGTCTCTTTGTTCGGCAACACTCCCCAGGGCCCTACCATTAACTACCCTGGGTTTGCCTTACCAAAATGCAACACCTTTTATTTATCTAAACTGCCACTTATCAGCCCATTGGCCCATCTGATCAAGGTCCCATTTTACTCTGAGCTAATCTTCTCCACTGTCCACTACACCGCCTATTTTGGTGTCATTTGCAAACTTACTAACCATACTGCTGGTCACCGGCCTTCAGTCCTAAAAGCAATCCTCCAACACCACCCCCTGGCTCCTACCTTCGAGCCATTTTCCCAGTCTTCTGACCAATCAGTATATTTCATAGCGTTGGATGTCTTTTTGTTCAATTTGACACCACTCTTAACTTCCTGAGATAGACACAGATGGAGCACCTTACCATAGACTTTTTATTTCCCAATGGAATTCCTATTGGCATAAACATTCACCAAATGTATATATTTTTTTGAAAGGAAACTAACGAAAAGGATGGTGTAACATTGGCAGAAGCAAAATTACTTTAGCATAATCTGAAATGTGAAGCAAGATGAGAGATGTGTAGTAACACTACAAGTATTAATGGGAATTATGACAAAATTAGTGCTTCAGTATTCCCAATTTCTAAACGTGATATTAAATTTAACATATTTTTGCTTTCAGAGGGTGTACTGTGGACATGAGTATACCATCAACAATCTCAAATTTGCCCGTCATGTTGAACCAAACAATGAAGCAATCAGACAGAAATTAGCTTGGGCAAAGGTAAGTTTGCTTATCCTAAGCAAGTCATTAGAGTTAAACACTCCTGGGATTTGATACAGTAATGTGTGATCAGCCCAGTTCCATCTTTTGATTTGATTCCTGATCTACTGGCCATATGAATTAGTTGTTGTGTTGGGTAGGTTCAGCCTCTGGCATCTAGAATCGTAGTTGATAGAATCTGTACAGTGTGGAAGCAGGTTTTTTGGTCCATCAAATCCACACCAACTCTCCAAAGAGCATCCCACCCAGACCCACCCCTCTACCCGATCCCTGTAACCCTGCATTTCCCATGGCTAACCCACCTAACCTACACATCTCTGGACACCATGCATAATTTGGCACAACCAATCCATCTAATCTGCACATCTTTGGATCTCATGCAAAACAAGGCAGCTGGGACAGTGGAGCATTCCCTCAGTACTGCAGTGTCAGTTTAGGTTTTGCACACAAACCTTTGAAATGGGTCTCAAACACAGTAACAGGAGGATAACACCTCCTCCTAATTTCTGAATTCCAGCAGTACAGAGCTCTTGTTAGGGGAAGCCATAAAGAGCAGTGAAACTTGCTAAAGTTTCAGTAAAAGCACTTGACAAGTAATATAGGACAGGTAAACTGCACCTAAACTAGCTTCAATATTGTAAAGGATTTTTTCCCTTAATTTGTCTTTTAAGTTTTGTAGATTTTTGGAACAAAATAAACTTGATTAAAGCAAAATATATTTGTTTCATGACCTAATATTAAAAGTCTTATGTGCTCTGTACAGCTAATTCACATTACCAATATTGGGTAAATTTAATTTTTTTTTGTATTTGTTTTTAGGAGCACTATGATCTTGGAAAACCCACCATCCCATCCACTATTGGGGAGGAGTTCAGTTATAACCCTTTCATGCGAGTGAGGTACAGTGAAACCCAAGTTTAACATTTCTAAGACTTTTGCGTCTCTTCAGTCAGAATTCAGACTTGTTGCCAAGATGAAATGTAAAAAGGCAGAATCGTGAAACACATAATTAACTTCCTTTTATTAACTTTATTTGTCTTATTAATAGTTAACCTAACCATAATTTTCATCTCATGGAAATTTTCAAAAAAAACAAAAAAACTGCATAAAATATAGCAGAGAGGCAATGTGAGGTGCACATCTAAAGTGACTAGACCCTAATAATATCCCGTTTTTAATAACTTACCCCATTTTTAATGCTAATATAGCTCCCAAGTCCTCCAGAGCCCTTTACCATTTTCTTTCCTCTTAGAAGTGGGATTTTCTTGTAAACAATTCAGAGGGACTTTTCCCCTTCCTGCTGTGGTTTGAACAATTGGGAGAAATTTGGGGAACTATGGTGAAAATGATTAGATCAGCATTTCGACATCAGGAGAAAGGTTCCAGTTTTGTCCCTAAGCCTTCAGTGAGTGACTTCAGATTCTCACTGTTAAGTTGCGACCACCTGATTTCCGCGCATTTGCACCTCATCAAAAACTTAATTCCTCTTATTTATTCGCCACATCCGACATTCATTTTGTTTCTCAACGAAACTAACTGCCACAAATTGCCGATGTGTGAATCAGAGCAGGTACCCAGTGGCAGCAGCTTGATGGCCATCATTAAACTACTTCTGCAGAACGATGTCCATGTATGGCCACAGTCCTCCTCAAGCCTTTGTCCACACAAGTCAAACTACAAACCCCAGTACATCATCACACCTGCTGTTTGACTCACTTCCACGCTTTAGTTTGGAGCTGAACGGCACCTAAGACTTGTGGCCTTCTGCCAAGTCGCTTTGCACCAGAGGGACAAACTCACATCTCATGCATCCACACAGGATGCATCGTATGGTTTTTGGCTTTCTTAGCGCTGACTCACATTGTGCTTTCTTGAAGGCTGGCAAACTCTGTCTACTTCACATTGTTTACTTTAATGCCTAGCATCTTCAGTGTTGAGTCACAGCCTCTGTGACTTGCATTCAATTCAGCACAGAGGGAGACTCGGGCAGTTTGTCAGGGCAGGAAAAACTGAACAGTCCTAAAGGGCTGGACATGTCACCTTCGACACTGTGCTACATCGGTGTCATAGCTGCAGCATGTGCCAGCAGCTTAAGTGGCAAACACACAACGCATGCTACAAGCAAATGGCTATGTCCGAACGTCAAAGGTGAGCAGACCTTTGGGGTTCAAGGGGAGCTATTAGCTGTCGAGGGATATCACCGCAGTCAGTCAATGGCCTTGTTATAGCCAGATCAGCCGCAGTGTTGTGGAGAAAGCAGTTCAAGGAGTTTTTCTTAAATTAATTTGTGGGATGCAGGTGTCGCTGGCTGGTACCAGCATTTCTTGCCCATCCCTTGTTGCCCTTGGGAAGGTGGTGGTGAGCTGCTTTCTTGAACCACTGCAGCCCACCTGCTGTGTGTTGAACCACAATGCATTTAGAGGGAATCTCCAGGATTTTGACCCAGCAACAGTGAGGGAATGGCGATATATTTCCAACTCAGGATGGTGAGTGGCTTTAAGGGGAACTTGCAAGTTGTGGTGTTCCCATGTATCTGCTGCCCTTGTCCTTCTAGATGGAAGTGGTCGTGGGTTTGGAAGGTGCTGTCTGAGGAACTTTGGTGGATTTCTGCAGTGCATCTTGTAGATGGTACACACTGCTGCTACTGAGCGTCGGTGGTGGAGGGAGTGGATGCTTGTGGAAGTGGTGCCGATCAATTAGGCTGCTTTGCCCTGGATGGTGTCAAGCTTCTTGACTGTTGTAGGGGCTGCACTCATCCAGGCAAGTGGGGAGTATTCTGTCGCACTCCTGACTTGGGCCTTGTAGATGGTGGGACAGACTTTGACAAGTCAGGAGGTGAGTGGCTTGCTGCAGGATTCCTTGCCTCTGACCCGCTCTTGTCAGAGTGTACCAGTTTTTCCCTTCAGTGAGTCGAAAGGAGAGATTGCGTGTGATGCAGAAGCAGGAGAGATGATGATGAGCTGTCTCCAGTGATTGAGTACAAAGTGCAGATGGCAGGAAGGGATGCTAGTTTGGGAGGATGAGGTACACAAGCCAGGGAGTGGAGGTGATGCATTCGGTGGTAAGAGTTGGAGCCCGTAAGCTTTGGTGAAATATATTTGCGGCGGTCGAATTAATGTGAGTTTGAAGCGAGTAGACAGTGACACTGACCCTTGCAGCACACAGAAGATCATTAGCCTGCTTCCTGCACTCGTGAGTGTTCCTTTTAACCCAGGATACAGACCTGACCAGCGGCTCTCTCTAGGCCCCAGCAGACAGCAGGATAAATTACAGCCTCTCCCCAGCCCCATCCACCTGCAACTCCACAGTGCAGTCCCAAAAGCTGGCTGCACGCTTTTCTTTCTAAGTCGTGCCCTCGATGATGGTGTTTGAGCAGCCTGATATGGAGGACAGTTCCTGATTGAAGTGGTGTGCAGCGGAACTTCGAATATGGTGCCAACAGCATGAAAGGTCCTGGCAGCAGTGAGGATTTCTGCCTCTCCTGGCACGTGACTGCATGAGGCAGGCACCACAGACACTAATTTCACATTTACTGAGAGGTGAAGAGTGGAAGACTTGTGCAAAAAGCAATTTTGGACCATGGCAAACCACGAATCTCACCCGACCAACTCCAGCTGAAAATGAGCTTGCTGCACCCAGCAAACCCAAATGAGAGGGACATCAGTCAACCAGCCAGAGTGTGACACACAGATATCTTTATTTAAGCATTCGTGACAAATGTATTCAATGAAAAACAGCACAAGACCTTACAATCACTTTTTAGTAATATTCCCGTTTAAGCTTTTTTTTTAACTGCAGGAACCGCAACCACTAAACATATCCATTTCTAGCATTGGATTTACTTCTAGAATTTGGTAAGCTCATTGCTGTTGTCTTTTTTCCTTCACTGTTTGGGAAAATCATACCAGAACCAGATCAATTTCAAATACTTTGTCAGTCAAAGGCATGGTTTACTTTGGCTCCGTTATTAGTGAATAAATCTACCTGCACCTTCGTGCTTTCTCTACATAGCATCACTTTCTGTTAACTTCCCTTTACATTACCCTCTGGTTAGAGCACAGTGACAGAGTCATAGAATTGTACAGCACGGAAACAGACCCTCTGCTCCAACTCATCCATGCCAACCAGATATCCAAAAGTAATCTAGTCCCATTTGCTAGCATTTGGTCCATATCTCTCTTAAACCCTTCCTATTCATGTACCCATCCAGGTGCCTTTTAAATGTTGTAATTGTACCAGCCTCCACCACTTCCTCTGGCAGCTCATTCCATACACGCACCACCCTCTGCCTGAAAAAGTTGCCTCTTGGGTCCCTTTTAAATCTTTCCCCTCTCACCTTAAACCTATGCCACCTAGTTTTGGACACCCCTACACTGGGGAAAAACCTTAGCTATTCACCCTATCCGTGCCCCTCATGATTTTATAAACCTCTGTAAGGTCACCCCTCAGCCTCTGACACTCCAGGGAACATAGCCTCAGCCTATTCAACCTCTCCCTGTGGCTCAAACCCTCCAACCCCAGCAACATCCTTAAATCTTTCCTGAACCATTTCAAGTTTCACAACATCTTTCCTACTGCAGGGCAATCAGAATTGAATGCAGTATTCCAAAAGTAGCCTAACCAATGTGCTGTGTCCCCAGAACATTAGCTGAGTTTTTGGATTAAGAATCTGCAATAGGTCAAGAATGAGTTGCATCCTGGGTATGCAGGAATAAGAATTGCAAAGCAGTCAATTTAGGATCAAAGTATTCTACAGCCAGATGACAGACATCATATTTCGCTCGTTCACTCTTTCCCTGAACTCTTCATCCATTAAATTTTACAGAACTTGCATGCACCTCTGGACTATCCTAATAAAGACCATCTCTGCTATAACAAAACAGCATCCTTCACAATTTATCATCCCCTCACTAGAACTAAAGCAACTATTTTTGAGGTTGAGTTTGAGCTCCGAATTCATGCTCATGATTGGAATTGAAAGACTTTGTGCCAAACAGTGAAATTATTGTTACAGGGAGAAGAGTGTACAAGGCCATGTTGGACAGAAAGATCCAATTTCGACCATGGATGCAATCAGAAAAGAAAAAGATCAATTTCAAGTACCAAAGGATTAATTGCATCTGTACAAATACTTAGCCCCAGCACAGTCTTCAATACAGCACCTTCTGGTGTGCCTGGGGTGGCAGTGAGCTACAAAATACATGTTAAGTAGTGAATGTTCTGTTAAATATATTAAATTTGCTTTGCAGTTGGAATTTGTAAAATGTATATAGGTTTTCTTATTGGCAATCATAAATGATTGTGACACATGTTCTGAAGTGTAAGGGACTTTAGTCCTATTGAAACCTGTTTTCGTCCAGATTATTTTTTTCATTAAACCACGTCCTGTTCACTTCAATGCACTTCTGGTCTCTGTTGGTATCGAGCCAGAAGATTGCAATTTGAAACCCCAATGTCAACTTGTCAATTAGACTTGGCAATCATGTACTATTGAGTGATAAGCACCAAACATTTTCAAAGATTCTCATTCCCAGGTTTGGAAAACAAAGTGTAAGACTGTAGATTGACCCATTCGAATCCATAATGATGGAGACATTTTGAAAGTGGCTATAGCCACGTATCTCCTCTATTCTTCTGGCAAAAGAGGGATAGAGTGGACTTAACAAGTAGTGGTGCTGCCCGTTCCTCCACTGTAAATGCCATCTGACTGTCAGCTCTCCAGTCCTAGCAGCGCCACTGGGTATGGTGGCCACTGCTGGGACTGCATGCACTCCCAGCAAAGCAGAGCCAAAAACTAGATGGAAGGTGAGACTGGTGGGACCTCGCCCATCTCTGCAACTGCGGCAAGGTCAGATGTGGTTGGGTAGTGATGGGAAAGTCATCCTCAGAAATTTATGGCATACCCTCCTGCAAAGTGCCAAGGTTGGAGCTGTAAAATTCTGTTTAAAAGCTCATGATAATTGAATTTGGTCACTCTAGTTCCAAGACATACAATTTTGACGTTGAGGTGTTTATTTCAGCAGACTCCCATTTTTCTCACTGTCATACCATCCCAATTTATTCATTTCTGAATTTTGAAAATTGTGATTAGAAATTGAGATTAGAAAATTCGCGTTTAGTTTTATGGTGGTTTGAATGGGAGAGAATTAATTGTAATTTAAGTAGTAAATAATATATTTTGCTTTTATTTACGCACATTAATGGGTAGAATTAACTGTCCATTCAGAAACTTTCTATCTGAAGAATCAAAACTGAAATCATTAAATGGATTGCACCTTGTCAACATGTAGTTGGAAAAACTGCATGAACACTAGTTTATTTCCCTCTTCTTGCTAAAACATTAGGACTGCCCTAATACACCTGTATCTGGCCGTATGATATAAGCATTTCTGCTATTTTATAGACCACCTTTAATCTTGGCTTCCTTCCTTGCTTTAATTGTTTATGTAAAATCAAGAGCTCTGAAGGTCTTTTAAGAATCTGAAAATGCACTCTGAAAGCCACAATAAAAATGTGGTAATTTGTCTAGAAGCTAAGGCTAAACTAGATAACAATGTATTGATTTAGGATTTTAGCCAAAATTAATTGCTGTGTTGTGGATTGGTTCCCTGCGGAGTTATATCTAACATGATTGAATTTATCCATATTACACCTTGCTTAATAGTCCACCACCTTCCAACTCAACATAGATGCGTGTGTAGGCAGTCAATAATTAGCTTTTCTCAGCTCTCTCAAAAGCGTTCAAAATGTGTCACTATCTGTGCAATATGTTGATTTAAAATTATTCCAGCTTTTCTGTTTAAAATTAGATTGGGAAGAATTGCTTTTGTGGTCTGATGCCTTCTCCTTGACTTCCTTTTAATGGGATCTCTTCTACTACTAAGCTTCTGTATTGATACTATATAATCTGCTGATTGTGCTTTTGCTTTCAGTAGCATTCTTGGAATTGGAGTATTAATTTCACTGTTAACCATAAAATACATTGATAAAGCAAAATGCATTCAGTGGTTTTCATTTTCTTATACAAGAAGAAAAATGATAACTTTACACTTACACAAGTGTGGAATGATTTCATAACAAGAAACAATAAGTGATATTGTATTTGTGAACTGGTTTATTGCTCTATACAGACTTGCATTTACGTAGCACTTTTCACAAACTCTGGACTTCTCAAAATGCTTTAAAACCAATGAAATATTTTGAAGACACTGTTGTAGCTAAATTGCACACAGCAAGCATCCACAATCAGCAATGTAACAATGACCAGCTAATGTGGTTTATATGATAAAAACAGAAATAGCTGGAGGAACTCAGCAGGTTTGGCAGCATCTGTGGAGAGAAAGCAGAGTTAATTTTCGGGTCTGGTGACCCTTCAATGTTTGCAGTCCTTCGTGCTATAGGAGGTTGGATGGGCCCCCGGAGACCAATCCCTTGCTCCTCTTTAAAATTCTGCAACGGATTCTTTTAAATTCGCCCAAGTAAACAGTGCAGCTCTCCCTCAGGACTAAACTGGAGAGTCAGCATTAGTTTGTACGTTCAAGGCATGATTTGCAACCAACCTTTTGTAACTCATGCAAGAGTGTTACCTCCTGAAAGCCTTTGCTGGAATTCTGTAAAGTGGGAATCAGGGTGATAAGTGCTGGATACAAAGCACTTCATGATTCTTTGAACAACGTCATCAGAGAATTGAACTTCTTTCTTCCATTAGTGTTTTGGCAAGAGAGAGATTCATGGCACCCAGCCTGTCATGATCCAGAGCTCTGTTTTTCAAGCAATCTTCCACTCTTCAGCTCATTAATTATAGATCCAGGCTGTTGGGTGCCTCTCTTGGGGAATTGTGCAGCCAGAAAGGTAGAAGTTTGTGCCATTCATGCTGTGGGTGCCATATTTAAACCCAACTCATGCCACTTGAGCTGCTGCAAGCCTGGGAATTGCCCTTCATACTGTGGTACTCCACTAACCCAGAGGAAAGGAAAACACTTTTCTGAAAAAAAAACCCAAAGAACTGTAGAAGAAGGGCCACTGGACCCAAAAGGTTAACTCTGCTTTCTCTTTGCAGATGCTGCCAGACCTTATGTTTTTTCCAGCAATTTGTGTTTTTGGAAAGGATGGCTCATTGGCAGCTACGCTGATTTAGACCTGGAAGTGTTGGTGGACAGTCAGTTTTCACAGGATGAGGAGGGCAATACCTCTTCCACGTGGAGGCAATGCCTCCTCAGTTTTCCCCCACACCTCAGGCACAGTGACCCCCTCAGGTGAAACCACCACCAGTTATCTCTCTCTCTACTGAGAGAACAAGTTTGGGGTCTGCTCGGACTATGGCAAATTCACCCTTCCCTTTATCCTTGTAGTTGTTAATGGAAAAGGGCTCCCATTCTGTAAAGGGTACAGGAGGATGCTGCATTAAGGCACAGACCACACAAGAAATGTACCTTTAAGAAAGTTATGTGGCATCACAGCATGCAACACTCCAATATAAAGGTGCCTGCCTTGTCTTCAGTTATTCTCTCCGTGTTATAGAGTCAATGTAGATAGTTTAGGATCCATGCTTACTGATGTAACTGTGCATTACACACATATAAATGTGTGATATCTAGGATAGGATTGTTAGTAACCTTCCAAATTTTTGACTTAACAGACTCTGATATATGTGACATTGGTTATGTGGGCTAACGTATGTAGGAAACCACAAATGGCATGAGCATGCATATGTGTAAAAGGGATCTATATATGTTTATAATTGAAAGAGTTGCAGAGAGTGTGAAATGGCGCTCAGACAGGTTAGAGGTGATACAGCTACATGATAGCATAATATTGGTGGAATTCTGGATAAATTAAAGTTTGAAAGTAGCTGATTGGAGAACTTGATCATGAATATGAAATAAGACTAGAAGTTGAATGATATTGAAATGTGAAAACGGATAGTTTCAACAAAGGCCTCCATATACAATTCAAGCAGGGCACTAAATATACCCATTCCAAGGTTTAAGCTGAGAAGTCCTGGACATGAAGGGAAAGAACTGGATGAGCATATGGATATCAATCTGTGTTAATGGATATTTTAGACTATCAAATCTCACACAAGGTTGGAATTTTATTTCTACCAAAGGAAAAAGGAGCAGGTATAAACCACAGAGCTCCTGAGAATATTTCACCCCACACTACAGCTGATTTTTCCACCTCTACTCCACCTTCCTGCTTGATTCTTCCCAGCAGTTCCTTCTAATGCTCTCTTCCAACCTCTTCTGTCACGCAGAAGATACAGAAGCTTTTACACTCACCAACAGGTTTAAGAACGGTCTTCTCTGCCGTTATTAAGCTGCTCAATGGATTCCCTAACCTTAAATAATGTTGATGTTGATCTTGCTTTGCACACCTCCTGTGCAGTGTAACCTTGCATTGCCTCACGCTGTCTAAGCATCATAAGATCTATATGTCCTTGTTTGCTATGATCTGCCTGTACTGCTTGCAAAACAAAGCTTTTCACTGTACTTAGGTACATGTGACAACAATATATCAAATCAAAAATCTTAATTCCAATGGTAAAGTTAGATTTGTAAGTGAAAGATTTTAGCTACATCACAAACACTAGTGACTGAGCACCTAACAATTTTTCAATTAGAATAGTTTGTTTCTTAGAGAGTTTGTGTTATATTGAAAACTTAAATAATTTTAAGTCAACACTTTATTATAATCACATACAGCAGTTGTACAGGCAATGGCCTAGTGTTCTGTTAATTTAGAGACCCAAGTAAAGTTCTGGGGACCTGGGTTCAAATCCAACCATGGCAGAAAGTGCAATTTTAATTCAATAAAAAAACCCACCTGGTTCACTAATGTCCGTTAGGGAAGGAAACTGCCATCCTTACCTGGTCTGGCCTACATGTGACTCCAGACCCACAGCAACATGGTTGACTCTTAACTGACTTCTGTACTATTAGGGATGGGTAATAAATGCTGGCGTGGCCAGAGATGCCTACATCCTATCCTTGAATATAAAAAAAATTGCTTTGATTGCTGTATGAGTCTATACTTAGAGACAACAATTCTAATAAAAGTGGTTTAATTGAAAACCTTCCAAAGTAGAAAGGACACTCTACAATTCTTACAACGGCACAAAGTAATCAAGGAAAATGACACAATTTGTCTGTTATTTGATGCTGTTGTAATGAGACAGTCTCAGCCTACCAGGTTACTGTAATAAAAAAGTAAAAGGAACTCAATGGGATCCTAATTCTTTCTGAAGTATTCAATTACAGGCTTTTAGTCTCCAAAACACTTCAACTGCAATATCTGGAGATATAGGAGATGCAACTGAAATCAAAGATGATTTATTTCTGTCATGATTAAACAAAACTCCTGGCAGGTTAAGGATTGGTAATGCAATGGATTGAAATTATACCTAACAGGCTTGGGTCCTGAATTTAGAATTAACCTAAACTCATAGATGTATGTGTCCGAAAGAAAATAACTAGGGCAGTGTTGGTGCAGTTCTTGAATAACGCAAGTCCATAGCATTAATTTCAATATCACTCAGGTCATTTTCAAGATAGCTGGTTTGGGAATTAGAAATATCTTATTGATGAGGTGGAGGTGCTCTTCTGAATCTTTTTGCCAGAACAGATTGTGGAATGTTTACCTTCTGCCTTGGATTCTAATCTGGCAGTGATTGGTGCTGGAGGTGGATGAGCCAAGGTCAACTATTCAGCTGTGAACCTCCCTTCTCCCAGACAGCTTGTATTGTGCATTCACAAGAAAATAGGGCCAGCTGGAAGACGTTGAAGCTTACAAACAGAAATGAGGGTAATAGAAGGAGCTGGTTGAAAATTTTCACCATTCATTATCTGTCGGTAGCGAGGGTTTGAAAAAATATTTAAGGTTTATTTGTTTTCAAAAAAGGTCAAAATATACAATTATAGGTCGGTTAGTTTGAGATCAGTACCACAGTCAATCATGAGAAACAATCTGAGTGCATCTATTGCAGCAAAAAGAATACATTCAGCCAGTGTGTATTTATGAAGGACAGTTAATGTTTAGCAAATGAGGAATTGAATTCATGGGAAATGATGATTTATTATATTGACTGACATTCAGAAAACACTTGCTAATCCCTTCACAGGAGATGTATAGCCAAACTGCCCATAAGGACTAAGGAGGAAGTTGAAAATTAGATAACAAATTGGTTAGATAATAGGAAACAGAGGGTAGTTACCAATAGTAATAGTTCTAATTGGACTGCTGTGACCATTGAAGCACTCCAGGGATCAGTCCTGGGTCCCAGCTGTTCATACAGTTTATAAATGATCCTGTTGAGAATATTGTATTTAAAGTGTTTCGATTCTGCGGATAATTGTGTGGGAAAGCTGAATGTTCTAAGCTGGATGTAGAGTCTTCAGAGACTGAACAATCGAGCAGAAGAAATGTCATTGAAATGAGGCTGTAAGAGAAGACTTGATGACCAGTTGAATCATGTGTATCACCAAATCGAACAGATTGAGGGGAAATGATTGATGCGATCTTTGACCCAATGCTGAGAATGTTGCCTCATTTCATTACAGGAATCGCTGAGGTAAACAGTGGACAAGTGGAATTTATTTCAGTGGAAATTATCCAAAATATTAAATTACACACAGGTGAAACCACATTGTTTCCAGCTTTATTCAGAATAGTTATGAAAACACACATGAAGACAGTAGAATTGATTCCAAGAATGACTACTAAGATGGTGCATAATTTAAAATGTTACTCAGAGAGAGAGATACCATAAGATTTTAATAACCCCTGCATAAGAGGCTACATGACGTGTTAACAAACTATCCTCTTACCACTGGCCTCAGTGCCTCTCAGTTAGGGAACGGGAAAGATTTGGTCAAAGCTCCCCACCTGAATCAGTTCAGTGATCTACTGTGGGGAGTAGATCAGGGTATCATGCAGGGATATAGCAGGCTGAATCCAATCCTCTGTTAATCAGGTGCTTCAGTAACCCTACTGACTTTGCCTGGT